CATGCAGCTAGTGCCCAGCTAGTAGGAATGACTCGAGCCGTGGTGCTTAGGGTGGGAAGGAAGGAAGGAAGGAAGGAAACTTTCTTCGCAGGTCAGGTATCTTTGGGGCCTTGCTGGGTAGGTGTGGAAGTACTTTATGAAGAGATTTGAATTCCCCCAAGAGTAGAGAATCAAGTGTAAAAAAGCTGCAACATCAAATGGAAACAGGCTTACATCAGGATAGCTCTGAATGTTTCGTTGATTACCCTAGATGCTGAAACTCTATACAGACCTAGGAATAATTGGACAATGACTCTTGATCCTTATATGGTCCCTGTAAAATCCATAGGCATCTTGAGACGCCGCAAACCTACCCTAGGAGCAGGGAGCTACTGGGACACATGCGCCAGGGTAAATCTCCCTAGAGACTTCTCTTGCAATCACCATTGTGATTTCTGTTCCATTTCCTTCTTCATTTGGGTTCTCCATCATCCCAAAAGCACAATCCTCGTAGATGCATGAAGATATGACAAGTGTCGTATCATCACCATGTCGGCAGTAAGGGAGGCTGTTTTTGCACAAGCAGGAGGCTGTTCTGCTCATTTTGTTTGCAAATGGGGGGGTGCTTCCCCCAACTCCCCCGCTTTTTAAGGCGATCCATGATCGCAAGAAATCACAAGTATCGTGTCGTCACCGTTGGCAGTCCAGGGAGGCTGCTCTTACTAGGAGGAGGCTGTGCCGGGTTGGGTTCGCCTCCCAGAACCCCCCCAGCTTTTTTTAGGCGATCCATGATTGCAAGACATGAGAAGTATCGTGTCGTTGTGTGCCGCTCATTTTGTATGCAGATGGGGTGGCTGCGCACCCCCTACCCCCAGTTTTTTTTTTTAAAGCCATCCATGATTGCAAAAAATGACGCGTATCGCGTCGACTGCTAACATTTTCAAGCTCTCCAAGAGGATCCGAGGGTCTAAAGGCACCGACAGTTACGAGGATTGCGACCCCGACCCCCATGATCCCTGTGACGGTTGGCACTTTTTAAAAATCCGAAAGTTTCTGAAACTTAAAGCAATGACAGTTACAAGGATCGTCACCCCGACTCCCACGATCCGTGTGACTGCTAACAACCAAGAGGAGAGGTCTGTGCCACTCATTTTGTTTGCAAATGGGGGGGGCTTCGCCCCACGCTTGTTTAAGGCCATCCATGATTGCAAGACATGACAAGTATGCTGTCGTCACCATGTTTGCAGTAAGAGAAATCTGTGCTCGCACTAGGGGGAGGCTGTGTCGCCCATTTTGTTTACAAATGGGGGGCCGCCCCCCCCCCGCTTGTTTAAGGCGATCCATGATTGCAAGAAATGGCAAGTATCGTGTCGTCACCATCGGCAGTCGGGGAAGGCTAAGATTTTCAAGCTCCAAGAGGATCCGAGGGTCTCAAAGCGATGACAGTCACGAGGATTGCGACCCCGACCCCCGCGATCCTTGTGACAATTGGCACTTTTTAAAAATCCGAAGGGTTGAGGGGCTAGAGCAACGACAGTTACGAGGATCGTTACCCCGATTGCTAACATTTTTCAAGTTCCAAGAGGATCCGAGGATTTCCAAACGACAACACTTACGAGGATTGCGACCCCGATCCACTTGATCCCTGTGACAGTTGACACGTTTTAAACACCTGAGATATGTTGAGGGGCTAGCGACGACAGTTACGAAGATCGTGACCTCAACCCCCGCGATCTGAGGGGGAAATAGCGACCTAAACCCCCACGATCCTTGTGAGGGTTCCTAATTTCAGAAACACAATTCTTTTTGGTCGGAAAAATTTTCTTTGATGTCCGGAGCAATCCAAAAGCGAGGACAGAACATGTTTTTTGATCCTCAAAAAGTTTTTTTGATCTTTAGCAAAACTTTTTTGATACTTTTTTTTTGATGGCCTTTCCTAGCTGCAGTTTGCAGTATGTCTTCTATCACAGGCAAGATCTTCAATCATACGCAATTTCATTTGATTTCTTATCAATTTTTCATCCCCAACCCGTCTCTTGCAAAATGGGGGGCTGCGTCCCCCCGACCCTCCCCGCCTGTTTAAAGCCGTGCGTGCTTATCTTGCAGCGGAGCTTGCGGCACTCTGTGCGCAGAAAGGACGGAGCATCCGATGATGTGTTTCCAAAAGGGTTGCGCTCCTCCAACACCAAAGCTTCTTCAAGCCCGTGCCTGCCTCACGGAGAAGCATGGACGGCTCATCCAGTCGTGATTAGCTTACCAATGGGGGGGGGGAAGCCTCCCCCAACCACCTGGCTTCTTTAAAGTTTAAAGTCTTGGGCGCTTGCCTCGTCGACGCCTTGTGGGCGCTCGGTGTGCATCCAACCATCTATGTTTTGTAAATGGGTGGGGTGCTGGCTCCCTTCGCTTCTTCAAAGCCTGCGTGCTTGCCTCAGAGAACATCGTGCGCGCGTCATTCAATTGGCATTTCTTTGCAAATGGAGGTGCTGGAGCGCGCCAATCCCGCCTGCTTCTTGAATGCTCGACCGCGAACCCGCAAGCCCCGTCACACTTTGCACAATCCACGAGGATCAGAGGGTCCAAAAGCGGACAGTCCCGAGGATCGCGAGACCGACCCCCACCATCCCTGTAATTGTTGATGCTTTTCAAAATCAAAGAGGGTCCAAGGGTCCAAGAGTCGACAACTGTGGCGCTTGAACTCTGTCAAGGGACCCAGTGTCAATGTTGGAGGTCAGATCCCTGTACCCCATTGAATTTTGCATGTTGCTGTTTCGTCTGGCAGGATGCACGTGCATTTGTGGCTCTTGTCGCGTCACGGTTCTCGGCGAGCCACTGAAGACAACTCTTTGCCACTGTCAAGATACCGATCGGCAGTGATTCTTGTGGGGTGAAAGACATGGTTAGCATCTAGCACTGGCAGCAGGCGGTTCGCAGTTCGCATTGCTCCCCCTTTTTTTCGAGGATTGCCGCCGATGGACGGGTAGCGTTGGGCAGCTGGCGATCTGGCATCGTCAGGATGATGTGCTTTGCAGTGGGAAGCTGGTAGAGTTTGTGACAGGAGCAAGGTGCCTGATCTGAATGCTTGGACCAATTTTGCAACTATGGGGTTTCAAAGTGGCGTTGTTGTGCTCCTTGCGCAGTCCGGTTCTGAAGAGCCACTTGCACATTTTCCAAAGCTTTTAAATTCTCTATCGGGTCCTGAGTTTTTTCTCAACTTCGCTCAGGGTGCGGAAGAGCTGTGCCCGCTGCCGCTCGCACATCCTCACAAGCCTGCCTAAAGCAGGGTTGATTGAGCTTTGTGTTGCGAGCAAGATTTCACTCCAAGCTCACTTCTTCTACGTGACGCCTCTGATAGATATCAAAGATGATGTGCCGAAGTTTGTGGATTTTCCCGCATCGCTTGGTGGCTCCGGGGTCCAAGCTGAATCTTGGGAACAGTGTACAGACAATCTGCAGGTTTTCTATGGGAGTTGCCCCTGCGGTGCGATCGCAGTGTCCATTTCCGCGGAGCCCACAACGACGATTTTCTGTCACTGTCGTGAATGCCGGTCCTGGACTGGCAGCTGTGGCCACTTGGCTGTCGTCTTTGAAGCCAGCCTGGTGCAGATTGCAGGCGAACTTATCTCAGTTGGACATGGTGGCCGCAGGAACTGTGCTAAGTGCTCGGCATGCATCGCTTCTGCGCACAGCCCAGAGGGCCCAGAGGCACCGAATCTGTTGGAAGTTTGCGGTGGTATTCTGAATGCACCGCCACGGGTTCAAGCGCATTGGAAGTATTCCGAACGAATTTTGTGCCTGGGCCTGACCGCAAGATCAGAAGACTTAGCAAAGACTAAGCATTTGCAGTACTTACCGGCTTTGGCCTTGGTTGCGCTGAGTTGCAGTGCAGCAATGAGGTCCATCAAAGATGGTTGCGCCAAGTTCAAGGACTTCCCCAAAGACATGGGCGGTTCAGGTGACGTTCTCGGACAGGAGTGGGCTTGCGAAGAAATTCGGCGTCGTGACTTGTACCTTGCAAGTCTCTGCAGGAGGTGGCTCCTTACGCTGTCACTCTCTTTCGAAAAGATGAAGATTTGGGCTTGGAGTTTTCATTTGTTGGACGAAAATGCAGGGTGCTGAAAGTCAGAAGGCACAGCCTGATTCATGCCGCTCGTCTTGCTTTGGAAAAGGGCATCATGTAGGAGTCTTCAGTTGCAAGGGTAGTAGTCATTAAACGATTGATTTTGGCACATGAGATTCTGCTCAAAGCTGACCATGCTCGTCTTTAGACGTTCCATGCAGCCAGAAATATGGAGTTCTCCATGACCAATATTGTTTGTCGCATTCCGGGTATAGCTGGTAGTGGGAGCGGGTGATGTTGAGGGCGTGTGTTGTCGTCCCTGTTATGCTCACGGGATCGGATTGGACAGAATGGTCCCTTACTGACTGGGGCCAAGGGCCATCCCGTGTGTCACAGTCAATTCTGCAGATGTGCACCCTAGCCGGCCCTAGCCCAAGCATCTCCAATTTTTTCTTCTCCTCCTTCTGCAAAGTGGCTGTGTGTGATCTCTGGCAACTTGATGGGTTGCTTTGCCTTTTTGCTTCCAAGTTGCATCAGCTGACGTCGCATGACATATCATGACATGTTGGTAATCGGTCAGCCTGAGCGTTCCACTGCACTGACACAAACATTTCATGGAAGACGTCGCTTCTCGATGAGGACTGGAACCAACGGAGCCCCTCCGATGCCGTGGTCTGCATTCACGATCGGCTCATCTCCGTCAATGGGAAGACTGCAACTACCCAGGAGGCCGTAAATTAATGCACTAGCTGAAGGTGTTGTGAGGTGCAGTAGGAGTGATGTTTGTCGGTCAGGATGTTTACCTAGATTTTCCTCGGATTTTCAAAACAAATGGCCAGGTGCCAAGCATTGGCCATCTCTGTTTCCTTTGAAGCTGGGCTTCGCTAGGGACCACCAGCGTGATGTTGAAGAAGTGTTGTCAAGCTAGGGTTTCTGTACTACTGTCATGTTAATCAGACCAGAGTGCATTTGCATTGTTCATCCTGTAACGTGCTAGCCAAGCATCAGACGTTGGGCTCCACGGTCAAGTACGATCCAATGGTAGGATGGAGAAAAGCTTCAGAAGGAATGCGGCATCTTGACGGAGTTGAACACTGCTTTCCTGTTTTGTTTGGCCTGGCAGCTAGCTCTAGCTAGGTCATGCTAGGTCAGGAACCGTAACCCAAATCCAAAATCGCCCGTTTTAACCTATTCATCCTAAGCTCTGAACCTTGACCTGAGAACTCACCACCCCAAATTGCATGCCTTCACTGCAGCATGTCCAGTCAGCATGTCACGGAATTCCAAACCATCATTTAGAACTGGGCCCGGTTCACAAAAACGACACGTTTGACTCAAAGGCATAGAAAGTTGAATCCTCTGACTCCACACCGGGAGCGCGCTCAGGATGAGTTAGGATGAGTTTTGTTTCGAGACAGTTTCGAGGGTGCCGGCTGCCGGATATTCGATGAAGGTGTGGCAAGCGTCAGCCAGCTCGGCTGGGTGAGCTTTCATCTTGAATGCGAGAGCAGCAAACAAATTTCTGATGCTCCCGACCATTCATATTGCAAAAACTCGCCCTACTTTTTTCTGTGTTTTGGACGTTTCGGGTTTGGGTCCCTTACCCGTGCTTGCACGACGTTTGGAGCCGAAGTAATGGCATTATGGAGCATCGAGCGCAATTAGACGGTTCCCTTGAACAAGCAAGAACGATCTGCTAAGCTCTGCAATACCGGTCCTTCTTATAGAAGAAACCCATGTAAGGCGAATACGCCTTGACCCAATTCCTGACCCCTGAAACCCATACAAACTCCAAAGCCCAGACCTCTAAGGAAAAAAAGGCCCTAAATAACCTAAAGCCATTGAATAACCCCACGCCGCCGCAAGCCCCAAACATCTCAAACCTTAAATAAAAAGGGAGCCAACGTGCTAATTCAGAGACACCTGCCAAGCTGTGCCGATGTTCTCCAGTCACAGTCCTGGTTTCTGGACCGGACATTCTCTTCCGTGCCTGCACTGCTGTGCGATGCGCGTGTCTAAACCCTAAGCTTTGAACACCAAGCAGCCCTCAACCCCAAGCCTTGAGCAGCCTCAAAACATAAACCCCTAGCACCGAGCCTCAAACCTCAAACAACTTCAAACCTTCGAACTTCGACCGTAAACAGAATCGAGCCCGAAACCCGAAACAAGCCAAAGTCCTGAACCCTAAAGGAGCCAAAGCCTGAATCCAGAGACAACACCAAACCCTAATCACAATCCAATCCGTAAACAGCTGGGAAAGCTAAACCATGAAGAGCCTGAAGCCTTGAACTCTAAATTGCCCGGGAGCATGCAGCCCAGAAACTTGAACCCAAAGAGCCTTCAACCCCGACCCCTGAACAATGCCAAAATGTAAGCCGCAAATAATGCCACACCCCGAACCATAAATCCCAAACAAGGTCAAGTCTCAATCCTAAACAAGCCAAACCCTAAACCCAAAACTCATCCCTAAACAATGCCAAACCTCAAACCCTAAACAATCCGAAGCCCTAAGCCTTAAACAGCCCTGAACCCCATCATGGCCTCAGATCCTCTTACGTGCTAAGCAGCCCTAAATCCTAAACAGCTCGCAACCCTAAATTCTGCACAACCCCAAGCCCTGAATCCTAAAGAAACCAAACCCCAACGCCAAACCCTAAGCAGCCCAAGCCCAAATCCAGAGACAACACCAAAAGCTGAACCCTAACCTGTCCTGGACGACCCCGCACCCTAAACAGTTCCATGCAAGTGGCGAACAGTTCCAAAACCTAAAGAACAAGCAGCCCCAAGCCCCAACTTCTAAATAACCCCAAAACTGGCAACCCTAAACCCTAAACCCTAAACCCTAAGCGACCAGCTCAACTAGCACAAACCATGCTGCATTCGCATGCGCAGTCAACTGTCACCATAGTCCCTTTTGAGGCCACTGAACTGAGAGATGTGGTGCTGCCTTGATCGAAAAAGCACAGGTGCAGATGGTATCACATGGCCTGAGGCCCTTAAAGTGGTCATGCACTTAGAGTTAGCAGATGAACTCGTAGATGTATTCAATGAAAACTCCTCAGAGAAAAGCCGTTCCCGGCCAGTTGGTTGCCGAATGTGGTGGTGTTCCTGCTGAAAAGCCCCATGCCCTTGCTGCCACAACACCTGAGACTCCAAAACTCTTCACCAAAGCCCTCCTGCAGAGGATACGACCGGACTTGCCTGCCGTTAGGTGTGGGCAGCTATGTGCGCGAACAGGGGGACAGGTGTTGGATGGTGCTCTTGCGGCGCAGCAGCTTACGTACATTGCTGCTCAGTATGGTTTGCCCCTACTGCTTCTGAAGCTTGATACCGCAGCTGCCTTTGACTCAGTTGAACACCCTGCTGTATCCCGGCTTTTCTGTGCATGTAAACCCTCTAGAGAATCACAGCCCCTCCTCAACTACATCCTGCTCAGTGCTGTTACACTCCGCTTGGGACACCAGTCCTGGACCCAACAATTGCACAAGGACCTCTTGCAAGGGACGCCTTTCTCGGAAGGACTGTTTGGGAGGTTGTTAGATTACTTTTTGGCAGATGCATGGGAATCTTGGTCAGAGACCTTCAGAACTTGGATTGAAACCAGGGGTCAAAATCTGCATGCCATTTTGTATGCAGACGATGTACGCCGGATAGCCATGTCGTACGAGGAGCTAGGCAGAAAGTTGAGGGATGTCCAGGCTGTTCTACGACCCTTGGGACTCAAGCTTGCGCTTGAGAAATATGAGCTGATGGTGTCGCACAGCAAGAGCTGTCTGTGGATGGCCAGATCCTTGAAAATGTTAGCACCAGAATCTTCCTGGGCGTTCTGTTGGGCTACTCAGTTACGTCCACTATGACTTTTGCGGCGCGCACTGTTCGAGCAACAATATTCCTTCTACGCTCACTTCAAGATTACGCGGGAAAGCACAGTCTTGCTGTCGGATAGATTGACTATGTTGAACAGACATGTCACATCGACCTGGCGGTAGATGGCACCAGCAGTCAGGCCAGTGCAGGATGTCTGTTCGCACCTAGCCAAGCTAAGTACGGACTTCCTACTTCACATGACACAGTTCACCAGGGACTGCTTTGTGGGAGCGAGCGATTGGGTTGCTCGTCGACGAGCAGCTAAGATGGCAGCACAGACAAGCGGCTTCATCTCGTGGACGCGTGTTCTCTGAACCAGATACATTAGCTACTGGGGGCATGCGGCCAGAATCCCGCCTGACAATTCGTCACCAATTCGTATCGTGCTAGGCATCCGTAATAGACTGTGGTTGTTACTGCATGGCGAGGATGTGAGGCGCTTGCCGGGCTACTGGCCGGATCACAATAGGTTCCCTCACAGGACTCCGGGAAGTGCCTTGTCCTGGCAAGTCGCTGCGCAAGACAGGCAAAGTTGGAGACAGTGGACAGATGCAGTCATGGAAAAGAAAGGAGTGCTTACATCAGGTTTTATGCTAGTGTGCCAGGACAGGACCTCTATGGTAGGTGTTTGGTGCAGCACCACCACAGATTTCAGTTGCTGCCGGCGCGACTGGAGCCGGTGGAGGTGTCATGCACGCAAGTGTATGTAGATGTCAGGTCTAAACCCCTGACGTCGCTGGCTCGACAGTGGGTCCTAACAGCTTGTAGCACCTGAGGGATGGAGCCATATTAGTTGCGAAGAGAAAGAGTGCAGGGAGGGGCTGGACAACGACCGGCGCAGGAGCTGCTAGCTGCGGTTCGGCTGTCTAAGACTGTTCTGCAGTCGAATCCCGGGACGTTTGTCCAAATCAGGTTGAGCACGGCAATGAGCGTGATGTTGGCTATGGGGGAGCAGCCTCCCCTAACATACATCCCAAGTCATGCTGAAGCAGTGGGGGTCTTGCGCCGAGAGTAAGTCATGCAATAGAGGTTGTGCACAGCCCAGAAAAGATGAAGCTCTTCGACTGGCTAGACAACAGTTGGTTGTGGCGGAAAGACAGCCATGGATTCTGAGTCATGACACAGTTAAGCTGGATGGCTCCCAGGAATGGCCGGTCGAACCCCAAATCTTTAATAAGTAGGTGATCAGTAGATTCCGGGTACCCATCCCCTCTCATCTGGGTATCCATCCCCTGCAGGAACAAGTTGGATTCC